GCCCACCCGTGGCCCGGGAAGCGCAGCTGAAGGGGAGAAGGAGGGCGGCGGCCAGGCCTGGTCTCCGTCTGGGGGACGCATCCCGACTCTGCGGAGACGGCGCGGGGCAGGCGCCAGGCCAGCAGGGGTGTTCCCCGCGGCCACGGGCTCCCCGCCTGGCCCGGAGCTCCCGGCCTCCTCAGATGGCTCCCAGGAGCGGGAGTCAGAGCTGCTGATTTCATATGTAGGTGACCTACTTTGCTTCGCAGCAGTGTACACCTCCAGCGACAGTTTGCAACCAGCTCTGCTTTTCCTGCAGCTGCCAAGTGCATCCAGGAACGGGCGAGGCTCTCGGGCCCGGCCCACGCAGGCCCCCGAGGACCCCGGTGCCATGGCTGACCCACTGGGCCGAGGCCGCCCGCCGGGGCCCTGCTCACGCAGGCGGGCCCCAGGGAGAAGGCCTGTTCTCGGAGGAGATGCTGCTACGCTGTGACACTAAATTTTAGTCTTTCTTTCACTGCTGACCATACAATGAGGCTTTTGTTCTTGTTCTTTCAAGCGACCTTAGGACAGTCCAGGCCCTGGCTTAAAAGAAAGCAGCTGCTTTCTCCCGGGGGGCGCAGCGGGTTGGAGCGCAGCACTGAGAAGCTAAAGCCACTGCAGAAGTTCAATCTCCGCCCCGGAGGTGACCACGTGGCACGGCAGACCTCTCCTGACCGCTCGCTGCTCCCCTCTGCAGTGTACAGATCTGCCTGTTCTACCCCCCACTCTTTCTGGTGAATCCTCTCACTGCCCCTGAACCTCTGGCATGTACCCCAGTTCTGTGTGCATCAATAAATACATCTTTAAAAAAAGAATGAAGACACAAAGCATGAAAATTCTAGAAGAAAATCAAAGTTTCGGGCCCTCCCTGGTGGCACTGTGGGTTAAAGCACAGCACAAAGGAGTTTAAGCCACTTCAGCATGAGTCTGACCTGGCCTGCCCCGGAGATCCACAGGGCACGGCAGACCTCTCCTGACCCGCCCGCTGCTCCCCTCAGCAGTGTGCTTCATCAGTCAGCCTGTTCTGCTCCCCACTCTGTCTCTGGTGAAGTCTCTCACCGCCCCTGCACCTCCGGCCTGTACCCCAACTTTGTGTGCATAAATAAATCTTAAAAAATAATAATAAAATAAAAGAAGAAAGCAGCTGCTGCCAAAGTTTCTGTAACGTTCAGCATCGAGCATAAGGAAGGAGACGAGACAGTGGCCGCTCCCTCAGCCACCGAGGGAGCGAGAACTTTCTGCAACCTGAAACTGTCTCAGAACCATGGGTTTCGGGGTGCTGGGCGAGGAATAAACACCGGTGCTGATGAAGGGGGTGTGGGGCCCTCTGATTGGAAAACCCAGTGAAAACAACTGTGTCTACAGTAGGTTGTTGCTTTTTAGGAAAGAGGGCAAATCTCAAGCTGAGTCTCCTCACAAAGGGACACCCCCAATTCTGGTAACATCATGTTCTTCCCATTGTCACTACAGTTGGGATCATTCTCTAGCTGTAGCCGAGATCCCAGCATGTCACTCATGGAAAGGATCTGAAATTTTCTTTTTTTAGCCCAATGTATTCAAAGATTGTGCCAATTTCAAGGAACGGATCGGAAATGACAGCCCATGGCACAGCGATGTAGAACGGGACGGGCCATGTCAACGTGCTGATTTAGGGGGCGCTGAGTTTGGGGGGGGGTCACCGGGGGGCCCAGCAGGACACACTGAGAGGGATAAATGACCCTGCCCAGCTGGATTCACAGTCGTGATTAAATTCATAGAAAACAGAATGTGGAGGATACCGCGAGGCTCACCGTCCAGGCCGTGGACACACACAACCAGGTGAATCCCATCCTCCAAATTCTCCTCCTCTTCCTCTGGCGGGAAGTACGGCACATCAGAGGCCAGGACAGGCAAGTCGCTGTACAGGAATCCGTCGATCTTCAGCTCTTTTTTAAATTTTTCTTTGGCTTGATAAAAACTGGAGAAGGCATGAATGAATCACAAGCCAAGCTGTGCACACGCGGAGGTGAACGGGAGGTGAGCTGAGCAGGAGGCAGGGGTGGTGAAGGCCCGGACGCCTGCGAGCGCCATGGGGGGCGGGGGGCTGGGGAGCTGACGGGGAGGAAGCTCTGTGCCGACCAGGGGCGGGAGCGGCAGCGAACCACAGGCGTGCGGCTTGGATGCTGCAGGTTTCCACGTGGCGCCTGCTGTTCAGATTCTGTGCACTCCAGAGAGCCACTCAGGCTTTATCAAGCGGCCCCCAGGGTGAGACCCTCTTCACCCGCCACAGCCAGCCGGCCAGGCCTCCTCCCCCTGCTCCCCCGCCCCCGGCCTCCTCAACTCCTCTCTTTCTCACAGCCCCCGCGAGAGTTACTGCGCCCCCCCCCCCACGTGTCTGCGTGCAGTCAGTCTGTGCATGGGAACCACCTTCCCACCGGGCCTGAGAGCCCCGGGGCTGGTCCCCTGACGGGGTGGTGGTGAGGGGCAGGGACTCGGGTCCTGACTGCCAGCCCGGGCCTGCACACTCACGAGCCACGGGCCCACCCGGAGTCTCCCCCGTGTGCTTTCTTCATCTGTAAAGGAGGGATGACCCCAGTATCCGGTTTGCCAGGCTGCTTTGTATATTAAGTGATGTCACCTCTGCAAAATGCTTAGGCCCGCACTTGAAAAGTACTCAGAAGTCATGCTGCAGGCTGCAGCACCACCATCCTCACCATCGCCGCCGTCCTCATTGCCATCATAACCATCACCACCTTCACCACCGTCACCATCATATCACTCACAGTTACCCCTCTCTGAACTGTCGCACTAAAATCTCCTACTGGCCACCCACTGTATTCACCCCTCCTCCTGCCCCTCTGACCCCCGATCTGTCCTTCTGCACACTCACAGTTCCCACTAGCTGCTGGCCTCTCTCGGTCTCCCTGTGAGACCCTGACCACCCTAACAGCTGGGACACCGGGCGCTGGACAGACCCGCCCACGTGCCTGTTAAATGCTGACAAGCACAGGGACATTTAACATTCCTCATAGAACACGGGGTCCCAAATCACCCCCCAAATTTCCATAGGGGGTATCGCTCATAGGAAATTCTGTAGCACTCTGCAAAGAGCAAAGAAGGCGGGAGCGTCAGTGAAGCGATTCTGCGTTCCATTTAGATCTCGGCCACGAGCTCGAGAACCACACGGCCCTACGGCCAGCGCAGGGCACTGCAAAGCGAGACCGAGCACAGGAACCCCGGGCTTGGAGGCAGCTGCTGAGCGGCCCCGTTCCCGCAAAACTTGTCATCAGACGCTGTCTGTGGCGGCGTGTGGGTGAGGGCTGCCCAGGTGACGAGCATGGGGCGCGCCCCGTCTCCCACGGAGGGCTAAGTGTCGAGCCAGCTGGACAGCAGGCGCATAAACGGACGTTGCCGATATCCCCGTGGGAAACAGAGTTTAGACGAAACGATACGGCGGCTGCAGGAAAGAGCGCGCAGCCGTAAACGCAGGAAGGAAACCGGGCGGGACCTCACGCGGCGGCTGTGCGGTGACGGCCGATCCCCCGACTCTGCTGGGCTACGTGTCGGACGTGTGTGGCTGCGTCGTGTGGGTGAAGGCGGGGTGACTGACAGCTCCGTTCTGGAGCAGTGTGGGAGGCGGGGGCGCCGGGCACGGCCGGCGGGGCTCGGGCTTACCTGAACATCCTTTCGCTGACCGCCTCCCCCAGCTTGCTGGCCGGGGAAGAAACAGCTGCAAAGGAGCCCACGGGCTGGTGCGTGATGGGACACTGGGCCTGCCTGGCGGAGAACCCCGCCCGGGCGGGGGGCTCCTGGGGCACCGACGAGAAGGGGAGACACGTGGCAGTGCAGGACACGGACAAGTTGACGCCCTCCACCGCCTTCAGGCTGTCCAGGCTGAGGGTCTCTGCGGGGGCCAGGGGCGGCGCCGGGCCGGAGGTGCGCGCCCTGGGCTCTTGGTTTCCCACGAGCCGGGGGCGCAAAGGGGGACTCACAGTGGGACTCACAGTGGAGCACAACGTGCCTGCTTCACGTCCAGGCCCCAGGGAGCTGTGGGCTCCTGGGCCAAAGGCTGCAGCACCGGCGGGGCCCGGGGAGGCGCTGGCCCTGCCCACTGACTCCAGGCGGGTGGCGCCAGCTGGGGACCCACAGCCCCACTCGGGCACCCGGGGGTGACCAGCGCAGTCCACCTCTGAGACGCTGCTGCGGGGCAGGGGCCCTCCCCCCGCATTTAAGACAGGGGCCGTGTCCCTGGGGGGCCCCATCGGGCTCCTGGGCGAAGCGCCGGCCCCGGGCTGTTCCGCTGCTCTGGCGCGTGGCCTCCTGTCGGGTCCCTGCGTCTCCGCGTCCGGAGGGCTCCCTGTCCTGCGCTCACGCTGACGGGGTCCTGGAGGCGCCGGCGGCCTCTCTGACCTCTGGGGGATGTCTATGTAGCTGGGGCCCTGCTGGCTGTCGGCATCTAGAATCACCTCCACGAAGGGACTGTCCTCGCCCCCACAAGGCGGAGAGCAGCGGCCTGGGGCGCCCGCGTCTTCAGCAGACTCCTCCGGGCTACTGATCTGGGGTGCGGAGGCCGACTTGGTCAGCTTGGTGAGGGCCAGCTCCCGCTGCTCCTCCTCCTCGAAAGGCAGAGAGCTGATGGAGGTGAGCGACGCCTGGATGCCGCTGGGCAGGCTGGTGCTGCTCTCGGTGCGGCCGCCCTCCAGGGAGCCCCTGTGCAGCCCGTGCCTCCGGGCCAGCTGGCGCAGGGCCTCCCGGTCGCCGGGCAGCTCCAGGGCCCTGCTGCGGGCCTCGGACCAGGCGACCGAGCTCTGCTCGCTCTCGATGCCGGAGTCGGAGATGACGGAGGCGGACCTCTTGACGACGCCCGAGAGCACGGACGCGTCCTCCTGGCCCTCCAGGGCCAGGTCCTTTGGGGAAGCCCTCGGGTCCGCGGGATCCCGCACAAGGAAGTCCGGGGCGTCGCAAGACTCCATGGGGACGGGCTTCGGACCGAGGGCTGCCGTCCGGCCCTCCAGGCCGGCCCCGCGTCCTGCGGACCCGGGGCCTGCCGCTTTCTCGGCAGAGAGGGCGTTGTGACGCCTCCCGCCAGCCCGCCCGGGGCCCGGCGCCGCGGGGTCTGGGTCAAGGTCCCCCACAAAGCGCCTGCTGTCCTGCGGGGCGCTGATCTCCACGGGGGGCTCGCCCCCGCAGACGCGCTCCCTGCTGGCTTTCACCTCTATGTAGCTCAGTGGCAGCGCCTGGCTGTCCTCGGCGCCGGGGGTGTCCACTCCCACGTGAGGCGGCTGGCCAGGCCAAGGGTCAGCGTCAGGAAGATCCACTCCGCTCTGGAATCCCCCGATGGTCAGATACACCTGCGACTCGGAACACGGGTCAGCGGACCGTGGCGCGGGCTCAGGGCCTCTGGTCTCCTCTTCGTCAGAGTCCGGCTGGGGTGGCTTCGTGGGGGGCGAGGCGGGGCCTTCCCTGAGAGGTGACTTTCTGTTTACAAGGCGGCCATCTTCTTTGTCTCTGAGGCCCACGGTGGCAGGAACTGTGGCGGGATCATCGGAGTCAGGGTACACATTCAGAGGGTGCCCTAAGGAAGAAAAGAAGTCATAGGACAGTTGAGGATTCACAAGGGGTCCGATGTGCCTGTGCTCCTGGCCCCAGGGAGAGAACCCCAACGCCCTCAGGGTCGCCACAGGGTGAAGGCTGTTTGTCACTGAGTTCAGACAAGATCAGAGCCCCGAGAACAATGGGTTGGCCAGAGGGCAACGTTTCAGCTTTACCCCGGGAACTCTGGAAAAACGGGAGTGGAGAGAGTCCCACTGGGATTCTCCAGACTGAAGGGGGTGGCAGCTGCACTCACGACGTCACCCCTAAGTGTCCCGTCCGAGGACCCACTGCTCACAGGGGAGCTGCGAACGGAACCACGACCCTCCCGCCACTTCACAGCAGCTAACAGCTCGCATCCAGAGAGCGTCCACAGCTGGGCCTTCACCCCGGGGCGGGGAAGGCCTCAGACAGGAGGGGCAGGAGTGCTGGGCCCGGGCTGGCCCGTCCTGCACGTGGGCCTAGAGCGCTTCCTCTCACCACAGCAGGGTGTGGCCTGGCAGCGGCCCCAAGCTAAGGGAAGCCCCCAGCCCTGGAGAAAGGAGGCACACTTAGGTGCTGATGCCTCTGCCCAGGGAGTACGGA